TTGGTTAGCCGCGTGGGGCATTGCAAGGACCTGGTTTCAGCTCTGCACTGACTCAGGCCGGACCACTAGTGGAGGAAGGAAGAGGAAGACTCATTCTAAACTAGGGACTTACAGTTTAGTGGTGGAGAATATTCCTGCCAGGCTGGTCTGTGCCTGGTTGAGTCCAGCTCTGTCACTTAACATCTCTGGGCCTTAGTTGTCTTATCTATAAACTGAGAATAGTGAGGATACTAGAAAATCGGTTGATTTAAAACGCTTAAAGGAACACTGAGTACACAGTAATTACCAAATAAGTGTTTATTATTGTTATTGCTATTACTATTATTACAGTGAATAATGGGCAAAGCTGGACAACAGTGGGATTGCTGTTTTGAGGAAAGTATTCCATTACCTGCACAAGCAGAGCTGAGGTGGTTGTAGGGTTCAGCTTTGGGCCTTGAGTTTCGGTGCTGTTGAGACATCCACCTAGGTTCATTGAGCATTACTGTGGAGACCAGTGTGGGGCTTGAACTCATGACCCTGAGATCAAGATCTGAGCTGAGATCAAGACCTGAGCTGAGATCAAGTGTTGGATACTTAACTGACTGAGCCACCCAGGTACCCCATTATTCGTTCTATTTATTTAATTCTACAAGTATGTACTGAGCAGCTCTTCTGTACCTGACACTATGGTAGGACTTGAAGATACTAGGATGAATCAGACAGTCCCAGCTCCCAAGGACTTGATAATTTAGGAAGGATGGGAGGTAGGAATCTCCTCTCGTGTGTTGAGTAAGTGCCACAATACCAGCACATATGAGGCTCACAGACACTCAGGAGAGGGAGTCAGGGCAGGTTTCCTGGAAGAGGCAGGAAGAAACAGTGTCCCCTGGACCATATTCAGAATCTGGGAAATGCAGAGTAGGGGAGATCTGCCTTTGCTGGTCCATGATTAACAGAAGATTTGGGCTTCCAGTGCTGATAATCATTTTCCTCAAGCCCTGTACTAAGTGGAATCACTTGGGCCTTCCCACTTCTTACTGCTTCTGGAAAAATTCTTGTGAACCTCTAAGATGTTTTCTAAATCTCTTTGAACACACATTTTATTGATCAAGGTTTCAGTATGATGGTTTTGCCTCAACCCCTTGATCTTTTGGTGGAGGGAGGTTGAAATCGAAGTTTCTCCAGAAGGAGGGTCAGTCATAACCAAAAGAGACTACATTTCCTTAATCACTGAATCAAGATAGCTTGAGCCAAGAGGATTGGGCTAATTTCTGTGCTGCTGCACCCCTGTCCCAGACAGTTCCCTGCCTTGGCGTGCTCCTTGCCACAGATGTTCTTCTACTGTGAATTTATGCCAACCATGTTCAAAGTGGCCACATTAAGGGGTAAAGCCCTGGGGAATCAGGGGAAAAATTAAAAAGAAAGCCACACACATGTACTATTTGCTCGATCATAAAGACAAATATGTTCACATCCTGTCATCTCAGGCATGAATAACTCCAGTTATGCTCTAAGCGAGGAGGCCCCGTCAGGAAATGCTGCCAAGTTTCTCCTTCCCCTTCCTGACTTCCATTCTTGCCTCCCCGTTCTTCAGGCTCTGGTTAACGCTTTCAATTCTTTCTGTTCTTTGTTAATTACCCCTCTTTCACGGTTGGTCTGGGAGAGAGAGGTACAAAGCAGGAGGAGAGAGGTAGTCACAGGTTTTTCCAGAGACCGTGAGGGGGGGGAGGCAAGAACACATCCGCCGGGTCTCTTCTCCTTGCCCCTTTTCCTTTCGTGCCCCCACCAAGATGACTCATGCTGCTCAGACTCTGTGACTGAGATGTACAGATCAGGGCACGCACTCTTCCTTTCTCTAAAGGAGGAGTCTCATTTTAGCGGGTTGAGGTATCAGCTAACAACTCAGACCCAATTTACATGAAACTTGCTAACAACGGTCAGGAGGCCAAAGAAGAAGGAGTCACTGGTCAAAGAAAATCCAACATGTTGTCAAGAGTCACAAAATACATGTACAGCATCTGAACTAGGTATGGTCCACATCCTTCAGGTTTGGAAGGCTTCGTTGGGGACAAGGTACTAGGGGCTAATTATTCTCAAAACTGTTACCTTGTTCTCCGGAAGTACTGCATAGTCTCAGAGGCCCTTAGAGCTATGGAAAGTCTAGAGGGTCGTCCAGGGTGTGGGCTTTCGAAGTTTGCTGCCCATTAGAGTTATAGTCCTCTGACCAATGAAGTCAGAATATCTGGGGGTGGTGGTGAAGCATCAGTGTTAAACTCCCCAGGGGCTTCCAATGTGCATTCAAGTTTGAGAACTTCTGAGCTGGACCCTCACCTTTCAAAGTGTGATTGGTGGAATGGCAGCCCCAGCAGGGAGCTTGCTGAAGGTCCCACCATAGACCTACTGATTCACAATCTGTGTTTTAACAAGGTCACCGAGTGCATGGAAGTTTGAGAAGCAGTTACTTTCCTGACGCATTGGTTAGTCTGGCGACAATGGGCCCAAATTCTGCCTTGGCAACTATCAGCGGGAGCGGGGTGGTAGCTGCCCCCTTTAAGAGGGGCTTTGACCCTCCGGTTTGCCTGAGTCTCACACCTGGCTAGGTTCATTGACTTCCATCACCTGGCTGGGACCCATCAGAATTTGAGTTGTTTTTAAAATTTATTATAAAATAGAGTTTACCATTAGTAACATGTAATGCATTCACAGTGTTGTACAACTGTCACCACTATCTAGTTCCAGAACATTTCATGACCTCAAAAGGAAACCTCATACTTATTAAGCAGTCACTCCCCAGCCCCCCTCCCCTAAGCCCCTTGCAACCATTATTCTGCTTTCTGTCCCTATGACTTTGCTTATTCTGAATGTTTCATAAAAAAGGAATGCTAATGTCTTCAAGGTTCATCCATGTTGCAGCATGTATTAGTACTCTTGCTTTTTGGCTGAATAATATTACTCTGTATGGGCATATCCCATTTCATTTATCCATTCATCATTTGATGGATATTTGGGTAATTCTAACCTTTCAGTTACTGTGAGTAGCACTGCTGTGAACCCTTGTGTGCAAGTTTTTGTTTGAACACCTGTTTTCAATTTTGGGGGCTATGTGGAATTGCTGGAGCAGAGTTTTACAACAACCTGGCACACTGAGGTTTCACACCAGTGTTCAATGGTTAAAATTTGAGCAGCACAACCTATTGGTTCTACTCGAGAGAGAGAGAGAGAGAGAGAGAGAGAGAGAGTGTGTGTGTGTGTGTGTGTGTGTTTATTTAAGCTGGAGAACATTATATAAAGCAGAATGAGTTGAACTGCTGACTCATGTGGTAATTTTATGTGTAACTTTTTGAATAGCCAAACTGTTTTCCATAGCAACATTTTATATTCTTACCAGTCATGTTTGAGGGCTCCAATTTCTCCACATTCTTGCCAACACTTGTTATTGTGTCTCCCCCCCCACCACTTAATTCTAGTCATCCTAGTGGTGGTGAAGTGTTATCTCACTCTGCTTTTGACTTGTATTTCTTTAAAGAGCAGTGATAAATATCTTTTCACGTGCCTGTTGGCCATTTGTATAAAAGAATGTCTCTTTAAGTCCTTTGCTTATTTAAAAACCGGGTTGCCTTTTTGTTATTGAGTTGTAAAATTTCTTTGTGTATTCTGGATACTAGGCCCTTCTCCAATACATGATTTGCAAATATTTTCTACTATTCCGTGATTTACCTTTTTTATTTTCTTGATGTTGTTCTTTGGATGTACAAAAGCTTTCAATTTTGATGAAGTCTAATTTGTTTTTTTCTTTTGTTGTTTGCGCTTTTGGTGTTATATGGAATTTGAGATTTTGTCACCTGGACAAGGTCAATGCTTAGGAAGAGAAAGAGGGGAAAGGGAACAGGGATTGCTTGAGGTCTCTGTCTCCAGTTCAACCAGAAGATCTGAGCATTTATCTGCTTTTTATAATGTTCTCCAGCATACATATATATATATATATATATATATATATATATATATATAATCAATAGATTAGAACCACTAAGTTGTGCTGCTTAAATTTTAACCAAGGAAAACAAATATGAAACCTCAGTGTGCCAGACTGTTCTGAAAACTAGACCTAAATGGTATATGTAGTAATTAAAACATAATGTGTTTCCGGTTTCCTGGTTCAATTAAACTTCATTTGTAATTAAAAAAGACATACATTCTTGGAAAAGCAAGCAATGTTTCTTGCAAAATGCTCCATTTACGACACTTTTGGGAAGTCAGGATTTGGCCCAAATATAAACCCACTGTCTACCCTGGTGGCATCTCATCCACACTTAAGGAATATTTCATGGAAAATATAGCCAAGTTTATGCACACCAGCTTTGATACCAGGTGCTACATTTGGTTGATATTACACAGCAGGTGAGAGTTTGAACCCAGGGGTTCCCATTTCAAATCTAAGGCTCTGGCCCCTAGGACACACTTTCGAAGCAGTCAGATGAATCATCCTTTGATCTTTTTTTGACAGGCACTACTACCGCTACTACCTGCTATTATTTTTTGGAAGCTTCCTATATGCCAGGCATTGTGCTGAAAACCTTTACAGCTCATCTAACAACCCAGGAAGTGGTTCGGTAATTATCCTCGTTTTTTTCTACTGAAGAAACCGAACTGAGGTTACATAACTTGTTCCAGCAACCAATGGTAAATGTCAGAGCTAGAACTTAACCCAGATCTGACTCCAAAGCCCGTATTTTGAACCTCTAAGCAAGACTATTATTTTAAAGATGACCAGGTCCTGAAAATTGACCCCAGCCCCGCCCCTTCTAGACTACATTCCAGCAGGTAGGTATTCCCGGCCCCAACGCCGGCGCAAACTCTGCCACCGCCCTCCCTTCCGCCCCGACATCATCAAATTGCGCAGGCGCTCTCCTTCGGGGCTGTACTGTGGAGTGCACGCGGAGGCGGTGCAGGCGTCGTCGGGACGGGGTGCCAATGCGCAGGCGCGGGGCTGGAGCCGCGGCCCCTCGGGGAGCTTGGAGATGGCGGCTACCGGGGACGCTTCGCGGGAGCCGGCGGCCTCGGAACCGCCGGCGGAGCTTCCTGCCTCGGTGCGGGCGAGCATCGAGCGGAAGCGGCAGCGGGCGCTGATGCTGCGCCAGGCCCGGCTGGCGGCCCGGCCCTATCCGGCTACAGCGGCGGCGGCGGCTACCGGAGGTTTGAGCCCTGGCGGCGCCTGCCCCTTCCCTCTGGCGGGCCGGGTGCCGCGTTCCGGGTGCAGCGTCGGCTGCCCCGTCGGCTGCCCGCGCGTCTGCGCATCTGTTCTCCCGCAGTCCCGGGAGTCTGCTTCGCGGGCTCTTTCAGAGCGGGCTATGACCACTAGCGGTTCCGCGCTGGAGCCGGGTCTTTCCTCACTGCACTCGGGTGGCCCAGCTCTCCTCTTAAGCTTCGGGGATGCAGGCGCCCTCACAGTCGGGAGGTGCCAGCCAGTGTTGGTCGGCGCCTTAGCTTTCCCTTCCCAGCTGCGCGTCCAGCGGTCCCAGGGGCAGTCCTTGTATAAAGCTTTTAGGCTTGGGACCCGTTGCCGCAGCCCTCCTGCACCGCTCCCGAATTCATCCACTCAACAAAGGGCGATTGAGTGCATTTTCTGGTTCCGCTCGCTACGTGCCGGGCACCGAGAGAGGCAAATAGGCAGGAGCTGCTGCCTTCGTGAGGCTCTCAAGTGTGGCACCTGTTGTGTTTCACATGTTTCGAGTTGACTGACTTGATTCTCACTGTTAACTTGGAAAATGATTACGGTAGCGTTTGGTACCGGTGTTTTACTGAGGTGGTCATTGAGGACCAGGAAAAGAAAAGGATCTGTTCAGGTTCTTAGCGGCAAGTGTATAAGCTAATCAGGACTAGAATTGAGTTCTGATACTGCGTTCACGGCCTTTCCTTTTCACCAACTGCTGCTTCTGTGCCAGGCACTGTCTCACTTTTAGGAAGAAAGGCTGTTACTTCTGTCTGAATTTTTATCTTCCCCCTTTCTTAGGGCAGCCCTTGACTGCGTGTCTTTCATGTATGTACGTTTCTGTCATAATTTTCCACTGTAGTCCCGTAATAATCTTCTCTAGGGTACTTAAAATAGTTTAGATGACATGCAGGTCTTCAGGACTGCCTCTGTAATGTGAAGTACATGTGTTCCTAAACCTATATCCCATACTGTTTGCGTCGTTGAGCACAGTTTGGAGCTGTCCTCTACTACCCCTTTTCCTCAGCCAAGAGAAAGGAAGAATGACAAGAAACTGGGGCTGGCAGTCTGTCTTGATATTCATCCTGAATCTGCAAATTCCAGCCACTTTTAATGGTTCTGGTGTCATCCTTCTGCTTTCTAGTTCTCTTATTCCTTTCTCAACTTGAGATGTTATAGAGTCAGGACGAAAGTTGTTCATTTGTATTATTTCCTATTCATGATTTCATAAAGGTTTGTAGATCTGTGCTAAATGGTTGTGGAACAAGGGTACAAAAAAGAACATACAGAGGTATTAAACTTCTGATCGTGGAAAGCAAGGTCGAATGTATGTGCTGTAAGAGTTTTCTGGCAAGAGTTCTCAGACAAGGGACTGCGCTGAGACATGGGCTACACCCCGCTGTGCTTCAGGAGCTTGGACCAGCTGGAGTTGTCAAGACCTTGACTTGAGCAGGATACTGAACGATGCTCAGTCATGCCAAGACAAAGCCCCGTTTCTCTCTGCTGCTCCAGCTTGCTGTTTCCTCAGGCCCTGAGTACCACATTCTAAGCAACTTCTTCTCTGTCTTTTCCATGGCCTATGTCCTAGCTCAGATGAAAAATGGAAATTGTACTGTAGCTGAAATAAAAGTACTGCAGATAAAAATCTTAGCACCAAATAGAATATTGAGGCTTCCAGTCTGCGTGTGGTCTGTTTCTCCATTTATATTTAGGTCTTTGATATCTCTCAGTGGCGCTTGCACTGAAGAGGTTTTACACCTCTTTTTCTCGATGTTATTACTTAGTTCTGATTGTAGATTCTTGTGGATATTCTGTGTACTTAATCCTATCATCTGTGGATAAAGACGGCTTTACTCCTTTCCAGCCTTTATGCCTGTTGTATTTTCTTACCATCTTGCAGTAGTTGGGCCCTTCAGTATAATGTTGAATAGAAGTGCTAACAGTGGACATCTTAGTCTTATTTGATATATATTAAATTTAAATAACTTGTTTATGCACAAGGGAACATATGGGCTTACCTGGTTAAATCATTGACCACTTTTACTTACTTTTCATAGGTGTGGCTAATGTAAAAGCAGCCCCAAGGATCATTGACACAGGAGGAGGCTTCATTTTGGAAGAGGAAGAAGAAGAACAACGTACAGCTGGAAAAGTTGTCCATCAACCAGGTAAAGTGTATTTTCAGAAAATAGGGATCTAGATTGGTCATTTGGAGTAACATGCATAATTCTTTGTAAATCGATGTTAGTGCCATATCTATTGTCAGTGAGCAGGTCAGCTTTGTGAGAGGTATAGAGTTTGGTAGTTTTGCTGGTAGATTAAAAATTCAACCGGTTTGGCAATAATTAGTTTAACTTGTGGTTTGTGGACTTACGGTTGATGCTCTCTGTTATTTTAAAATAGGGACAGCCAATATATTGACTTCTGATATACTTCATTGTCTTAATAGGCCAAAATGAGGGGCTAGAACGTTCTACCAAGGGATAAAATTTAGGACATTCTTTTACTTGTTTGGAGGAAAAATGGGATATATAGATATCTGTAACTCTATCCTTGGGGAAGCTTAAAAAACCTAGTTTAGTTTTAGCTGTGGCAACAGAAATGTTATGTGTTCATCAAGGTAGGGAAGGGTCCTGTTCTATTACACTGTCTTCAGAAGCTGAGATTTGAAGGATTAAAATATTTGTTCAGTTTGGGTGCCATATTTAAGGGGGATATTGACAAGTGTATAGTGTCCACAATAGGGTGATCAAAATGGAGGTCTTCATGACGTGTGAGGAACAGTTGTCAGAGCTGGTTAGGTTTATCTTAGAGGACTCTTGTAACTGCCTGCAAGTGTAAGTGCTTCCCTGTGGAAGAGCGATTATACTCACTGTGATTCGCTTTGGAGGGCAGAACTTGGAACAGTGGGTGACAACTACAATACAGTGAGGGGGATTTCAGCCCAGTACCATGCATCTATTTAGCAATTTGCACTTACAGAGTGTTGGCACGTATTTCATGTGAATCTCATGGGGACTCTGAAATGGAAAAACTTCCCAACCATGTGAATTGCTGCTTCTAAATAGCAAAACACTGGAGGGGTTCAGAGACGGAAGGACTTGGCGGGGATATATTAGAGAAGCACTGTAGGGGGAGGGAAGGCATCGAATTAAACCCTTTAAAGTCTTTTATGGATTTATGGATATGAAGACTCATGGTAACTTTGTCTGCAGATTTTGGACTCAGCTTTGGGCTGTAAAGCCTATACTTTGATTTAACAGGTCACACAACAATTTTTTTTTTTTTAATATTTATTTATTTGAGAGAGAGAGAGTGAGAGAGAGCATGAGAGAGGAGAAGGTCAGAGGGAGAAGCAGACTCCCCAAGGAGCTGGGAGCCCGATGCGGTATTCAGTCCTGGAAGTCCGGGATCATGACCTGAGCCGAAGGCAGTCACTCAACCAACTGAGCCACCCAGGCGCCCTAAGATTTTATTTGTCAGAGAGACCGTGTACACACATGCAGCAGGGAGGGGCAGAGGGAGAAGCAGGCTCCCCACTGAGCTGGGAACCCGATGATGTGGGGCTCAATCCCTGGGATCATGACCTATGACCTGAGCTGAAGGCAGACGCTTAACCGACTAAGCCACCCAGGTGCCCTGTCACATGGCAAATATTTATTGATAACCTATAGTTGTGCCTTCTTGCTTAACGGAGGTTTACTCCTGCATCGATGGTGTGGCTGCCGCATGTGAATAGAACTTGGGTAGTGAGTTTATGGAAGTTAGAGAAGGTGTGTGTGTTGGTTTGCACAGTGGCATGTACACAGAGGGCACAAGACTGAAGGAGTCAGGCCACTCCACATTGGTAGGTGGCAGCTTTAATTATCAAGGGACCTTAGGAGGCTTGTCTTGGGTGGCTGCGAGATGAGGACATCTCTGCATCCACCTGCCAAATATTAATAGTTTATACAGAGGCTTAAGTGGGTTCAGTCCCGTAGTCAAGTCAGATGGCCTCAACGACACCTTACTCTGTCAAGGGTTTGTCCTTGCAACAGCTCCCACTATGGGACTGGTGGGCAGAATGAGCATTCCAAGAACAGAGTAGGGGATGAGGAGTGTAATTGCCCAGGTCTGCCTCACAGGTCAGCTGGCCATCATGTCCTCTCAATTACTTCATCAACAGTGTTCCCTTTGGGAGACACATTAGAAAAGGCCCTCATTCTCTGGGCTGACTTAGCCTGGGAGAGGGAGAGAGACTGTCTAGCAGACTCCCCGCTGAGCATGAAGCCTATTGTGGAAGTCTAATGACTCCTGAGATCATGACATGAGATCAAGAGTCAGACACTTAACTGGCTGAGCTACCTGGGCACCCCTATATCATGTTTTCTTTGTTAGTTTTTTTTTTTTTTTTTAAAGATTTTATTTATTTGACAGAGACCACAAGTAGGCAGAGACAGGCAGAGAGAGAGGAGGAAGCAGGCTCCCCGCTGAGCAGAGAGCCCGATGTGGGGCTTGATTCCAGAACCCTGGGATCATGACCTGAGCTGAAGGCAGAGGCTTTAATCCACTGAGCCACCCAGGTGCCCCTCTTTGTTAGTTTTTAAAGAGCTTCAGCATAGCTGAGAAAAATTAAAATTATTTGGGCCATTAAATTATTTAGGTCATTTGCCTATAAAGCAAAGCCTGTCGAATGCTTTTATAATCTAGAATAGACATTCCCCAGGATCACTAGGAAGGTGATAAGGGAAGGTGGGTGGTGAAGGACTTCTGGTTATGAAATAAGTCATGAGCATGGCAACTAGTTAATATTACTGTGCTGCATATTTGAAAGCTGCTAGGAGAGTAGATCTTAAAAGTTCTCATAAGAAAGATTTTGTAAACTGTGTATGGTGACAGATGTCAACTAGACTTATTGTGATAATTTTACAATATATATAAATATCAAGTCATTATGTTAGACATCTGAAACTAATACAGTGTCAGTTATACCTCGGAAACATACGTGTGTACGCATGAGTACTTGCGTGTGCGTACATATATGTATGTGTGCATGTATTCACACATATATGTACACACATGTGCATGTATTTCTTAGCTCTGTCCACAGAAAGGGCCTTGGAAGTGAAGAGAACCCAGTGGCAGTGAGCATACCTGGTGTCCAGATCTTGGACTCGGATACTGTCCCCCCCCCACCGAAAGGAACCAGGGCCCTACAGAGAAATAGCTGATTCTAGGGTTGGGGCAGGATGGCCACCAGGTGAGTTTGGGACATTCTGTAATGCCAGAAATATGTAAGTGTTCAAAAGTAATAGAAGTGTGTCGCACAGTTTGAAAGGACTCCTGTTGGCCAAATCTGAGACACTTTGAGCACCAAACTCATTAAGAACACTACTGAGTGGTAATGCCATTGGAAAAAAATTAGGAATCTGTGCGTCTATATCTATAATTAATAGGTACATGAGTGAATGAATGGCGGGGAGGGTAGGCTCTTGCTTACACTAGACTGCCAGTTTCCACGTGATAAATTTAAAGGGAGTAAAGGAGTAGAAAAATCATCATGATGGACATTTAAAATTTTCCATCATAAAGACTTTCTAAAATTAGGAAAATGCACATTTTGTGGCTTTTGATTAATATTGCTATCCAGTAGTCTCTTAATTGGTATGTTTTTCTCCTTTCTAACACATTTTAGTAATCAATTTTTTGAAGATCTTTGACTGTATTTTTAACTTTTCCTTTTGTCTGTGGCTAAGCCCTGCTAACATTCTAGAAGGAAGAGTGATATTTTTGTTAGAGTTTGGAGATAGTGTAATTAAGGGGTGCTGGAGTATTTACTGACCTTGATGTGTTGAAAGTAGGTAAGGGAAGGCAGTGATAGGAATATGTCGAACCACTGTGGACAAATAATGACTACCTTCTTCTTTCCACTGGGAGTTGTGGCAGTTCTTCAAGCAGGGGCCTTGGCAGTAGCAATCATCCTAAAGACGTACTAGTAAAACTGCAGACTTGCTGAGAGAACCAGTTCTAGAGGATAAAGATCCTTAGGTATTTGAAGTCCTCAAAAAAATTGAGCTTTACTGAGAGTATTTCTGTGCTGGGAGCTGAGGATATGTAGCTAAATATAATCTCCACCCAGAAGTTTACAATCTCATTGTTGAGATATTGGCTCTCTTGGTGGTGGTAGGGTAGAATGAAGGGAGACAAAGTTTCCCATTTGAAAGTGAATTCTGTCTTGTGTCTTCTAGTGTTGACTTGCTCTTGACTGCCCTTTCCATGTTGTCTGTTAGTGCCCGTCTCCCTGTCTGTAAGACCCCTCCCCTTTTTACTCTGGCACTGCCCTCCTTTGTCCTTTTTTTTTTTTTTCCTCCCCTCCTTTGTCCTCTCACCAGTATGGTGGTAGGTTGAGTAACAGTTCCCAAAGATGTCTCATTCCAAGCACTGTGGATCCCGTGATGTATTACCATACATAGCAAAAGGGACTTGGCAGATTGATTAAAGTTAAAGACCCTGAGATGTGTGGGAGATTATTCTGGTATTATCCAGGTGGGCCCAGTGTACTCACAGGCACTTAAAAAGCAGGAGAGAGTCGCAGGGAGATGTGGTTATGGAAGAAGTCAGAGTGATGTGAGAAGCTGCTGCTGCGGCTTGGGAGATTGAGGAAGGGAGTCCTGAGTCAAGGAAGGCAGCCTCTAGAAGCTGAAAATGGCAGGTAATAGATTGTCCCCGAAAACTCCCGGAAAGGAATGCAGCCCTGCCCTTGACTGTAGCCCACTGAGACCTGTGTCAGACTTAGAAACTACAGATCTGTAAGATAATAAATTTGTGTTATTTTAGCCAGATTTGTGGTAATATGCTACAGTAGCAATACAGAATGAATACAAGCATCCTACACATGGTTTTGGGTTCAAATGTACTTGATGAATTGATATATATATTTTTTTTTCTTAAAAAATTTTTTTTAAGATATAAGGTTATTTAATCATGGTTTTGTCTTTCATGTAAATGTATTTGTGTCCGTTAAAGAGTACATGCTGATAAACTTAAGATATGGGAAAAATATATTGTTCTATGTCACAAAAAAGGAAACCTAAAGAATTAACCTTTCTTTCTTTAGGACCTGTTATGGAATTTGATTATGCAATATGTGAAGAGTGTGGTAAAGAATTTATGGATTCTTACCTTATGACCCACTTTGATCTGGCAACCTGTGATAACTGCAGGTACTTATTTCCGATGACGTTCTCAATTGCTAAAGTTTAGTGTTAGCGTGTAGGTTTAGGGCAAAACAATAATTAGATCCATGTGGATTTAATATTCTTAGTAATTACGATTTTCATTCTAGCGGTTTCCTAAAATTTCTCTGGTTTCCATTTTGCCAAAGAAATACAGGAAGTCTGTGTTTATTGTGGTGATGATGTGCCCCGCACGTAGGAGGGATGGCCTGGTTTGGCCGGAGATCTGTTTTCCTTTCTCTGGGCCTGGTGGGTCTTTACATCTTTCAGTAGCCGGTTCCTAAGTATTTTCTTCCTCAGGGCCCTGTGGGTCCCCTGTGTCTTATCCCAGGGTTTGTGGACACCTTGGTCAGAGGTTTGGGGCCTTCAGTGAGAGGAGGGGACTGAAGGGGAGAGAAGAGATGAGGAAAAGTCACCTTCTTCTCTCACCCTTTTCTTCTCCTCCTAGGCTCTGTCCTCTTTGTCACCCCAGGATAATGCTTCTCATGCCACATGGTTGTGTCCCTGCTGTTTACCCTGCATGTCCTGTGTTATATGTGGTAATTTAGTTCCCAAAAGCTATCCATCTGTACTTTAAGAAGTGACAGTACTGTGGATCTTAACCACTGTGTGTCAGTGGGACCAGAGACCCCATCTGAGATTCTTACTTAGCCCTCTTCTCTGTTCCCCGGTCCTCCTTGGACCTGCTACCCTAGATCAACTGCTCACCTACCTGGAGAACCTGCCCTTTCTGAGTCCCTGCTGTGGCCGTCGAGAGACATCCCCACTGACTTGTTGCTGGGTAGAGTCCTGGGAAGAGGGCATGGGAGATGTTGCTGGTCTCACGATCAGATCTGTGGCTGGAAATGTTTCCCACCTGTTGGGAGTTAGAAGTTAAAACTCTTTTCCCACTGATACACAGTGGTTAAGATCCACAGTGCTGTCACTCCTTAAAGTATGGATGGATAGCTTTCGGGAACTACATTACCACATACAGTCTTACTTACGTGAGAAGATAGAAGTGCCTGATGTATCAGTTAAGAGAAAGTTGTGTAGTAGTCTGGAAAAATTCTTTTAAACTTTAATTAGGAACACAGCCCTTTATCCTGTTTCCTTTCAGTATCTTCAAAGATTTTAATTTTAGTAGAATATCATTTATCTGTCCCCTCTTTTAGCTTAAAATTCCAAGTTATTTAGCTCTCATAAAGTTCTTCACAATTTTTAAGTCTCCCTTCCCCTCCCTGACCTATATACCTCATTTCAGTAAAGGCCAGCTTCACTGGCTGTTTCTTTTTATCTTGTGTTTAATTCCAAATCCATTTGGCTCTGTGTTCATTCCATATCCTTGCTTCACCCCCTCGTCCCCTCGCCCACCACGACTTCTGCTGAGGCCACCATCAACCCTGGCCTGGAGCACGGCACTGGTGGTCTTCTGACTGGCCTGTGCCCCCGCTTTGTACTGTTGTCATCTTCTACGGAGACATTTTAGTCAGAACTCTTCAAAGGTTTTTAATCCGTGTAGACTAGAACTGTCTCTACACTGCTTACAGGGCTTCCACCTGTCTCAGAGTTGATCTCCTGCCCCCCGCCCCTGCTCCCCGCCCGTCCCCTCCTCACCACCACTCCTCCCTTAAGCCTTCTGGTCCCGCCAGCTCAGTTGCTATGAGTCCAGTTGCAAAGTGCACTCCTGCCCTAGAGCCTTTGCACTTGCTGTTCTCTCTGCTCAGGATGTTCTTTCTCCAGCTGTTTAGAATGTTCTGACTTTTTAAGGGCCATACTCAAATGCCCCCTCATCAGTGGCCTTCTTTGATTACCCAGTCTGTCAGAATTTCTGTCCCTTTACCACGCTTTGTGTTTCTTTATAGCACTTTTCTCTGTCATTATGTTTGCTTATTGAGTGTCTTCTCCTAACCAGAATGGGAGCTTCATGAAAACAAGGCTTTGTTTTCTTCTTTGCTATTTTTCTGGTACCTTGAGTAATACCTGGCATGTAGATGGAGAACAAATAAATGAGAAGAACTGTGTAACTGACTAAGCCTCCATTTTTACCTTGGCTTTGAAACAACTGAGCCAGTTGGAAACTAAAGTGTATTGGGCCAGTTGGACCTTGTATACTCAAATTCCTTCTATCCCACCGACCCTGACTTTATGCTTTGATTTATGTTTTCTTACCCATTGAGTCTTACTTCTCATTTACATTTTCTATACTCTTAGTAATTTCAAATCCAGTGTGGCGAAGAGCTACTTTAAATAAATAGAAAAGAAATTCTTACTAAATGACCAGGATCTGCTGCTAATCTAATATAGCTTCTCCAGATTTTAGTAAAAGATAAAGTATCTTAATGTTTAGAATTTTTATGCTGCTAACTTGACCATGAGAGTTGAAGGAAAAACTATTTTTATTTTCAGATTTTTAATTTTTATTTATTTATTTATTTATTTATTTTTACTAACATATAATGTATTATTTGCTTCAGGGGTACAGGTCTGTGAATCACCAGACTTACACATTTCACAGCACTCACCATAGCACATACTGTCCCCAGTGTCCATCACCCAGCCACCCTACCTCTTCCCTCCCACCCCCCAGCAACCCTTAGTTTGTTTCCTGAGATTAAGAGTCTTTTGGGGTGCCTGGGTGGCTCAGTGGGTTAAGCTTCTGCCTTCAGCTCAGGTCATGATCTCAAGATCCTGGGATCGAGCCCCATATCAGGCTTTCAACAGGGAGCTTGCTTCCCCTTCTCTCCCTGCCTGCCTCTCTGCCTGCTTGTGATCTTTCTCTGTCAAATAAAAAAAAAAAAAAAGAGTCTTTTATGGTTTGTCTCCCAGCCGATCTCATCTTGTTTCATTTTTTTCCCCTCCCTACACATCATGACCCCCTCACCCTGCTTCTCACATTCCTCGTATCAGGGAGATCATATGATAATTTTCTTTCTCTGATTGACTTGTTTCACTGAGCATAATATGCTCTACTTCCTCTAGTTCCATCCATGTCATTGCAAATGGCAATTTCTCTTGATGGCTGCATAGTATTCCATTGTATATATATACCACATCTTCTTTATCCATTCATCTGTTGATGGACATCTAGGTTCTTTCCATAGTTTGGCTATTGTGGACATTGCTGCTGTAAACATTCGGGTGCACGTGCCCCTTCAGATCACTACATTTGTATCTTTAGGGTAACTACTCAGTGCGATTGCTGGATTGTAGGGTAGCTCTATTTTCAACTTTTCGAGGAACCTCCATACTGTTTTCCAGAGTAGCTGCACCAGCTTGCATTCCCACCAACAGTGAAGGAGGCTTCCCCTTTCTCTGCATCCATGCCAACACCTGTCATTTCCTGACTTGTTAAGTTTAGCCATTCTGACTGGTGTGAGGTGGTATCTCACTGGGGTTTTGATTTGTATTTCCCTGATGCTGAATGCTGTTGAGCACTTTTTCATGTGTCTGTTGGCCATTTGGATGTCTTCTTTGCAGAAATGTCTGTTCATGTCTTCTACCTGTTTCTTAATTGAATTATTTGTTCTTTGGATTTTGAGTTTGATAAGTTCTTTATAGATTTTGGATATTAGCCCTTTATCTGGTATATCATTTGCAAATATTTTCTACCATTTTGTCAGTTGTCTTTTGGTTTTGTTGACTGTTTCTTTTTCTGCACAAAAGCTTTTGATCTTGATGAAGTCCCAATAGTTCATTTTCGCTCTTGCTTCCCTTGCCTTTGGCAATGTTTCTAGGAAGAAGTTGCTGCGGCTGAAGTCGAAAAGGTTGCTGCCTGTGTTCTCAAGGATTTTGATGGATTCCTGTCTCACATTGAGGTCTTTCGTCCATTTTGAGTCTATTTTTGTGTGTAGTATAAGGAAATGGTCAAGTTTCATTCTTCTGCATGTGGCCATCCAATTTTCCCAACACCATTTATTGAAGAGACTCTCTTTTTTCCATCGGACATTCTTTTGTGCTTTGTTGAAGATTAGTTGACCATAGAGTTAAGGGTCCATTTCTGGGCTCTCTATTCTGTTCCTTTGATCTATGTGTCTGTTTTTGTGCCCATACCATACCATCTTGATGATTACAGCTTTGTAATAGAGCTTGAAGTCTGTAATTGTGATGTTGCCAACTTTTTTTCTTTTTCAACATCCCTCTGGCTATTCAGGATCTTTCCTGGTTCCATATAAATCTTAGGATTATTTGTTCCATTTCTTTGAAAAAAATTAATGGTATTTTGATAGGGGTTGCATTAAATGTGTAGATTGCTTTAGGTAGCATAGACATTTTCTTTCATGAGTACTTTGTAGTTTTCTGAGTACAGATTCTTTGCCTCTTCAGTTAGGTTTATTCCTAGGTATCTTATGGTTTTGGAAGCCTGCTTCCCCTTCTCTCTCTGCCTGCCTCTCTGCCTGCTTGTGATCTTTCTCTGTCAAAAAAAAAAAAAAAAAAAAAGATGGTTTTGGGTGTAGTTGTAAATGGGATTGACTCCTTAATTTCTTTTTCTTCTGTCTTGCTCTTCGTTTATAGAAATGCAACTGATTTCTGTGCATTGATTTTATATCCTGACACTTCACTGAATTCCTGTATGAGTTCTAGCCATTTATTCCCCATAAAATATCTTATCATCTGCAAAGAGTGAAAGTTTGACTTCCTTTTTGCTGATTCGGATGCCTTTTATTTCTTTTTGTTGTCTGATTGCTGAGGCTAGGACTTCTAGTACTATGCTGAATAGCAGTGGTGATAGTGGACAGCCCTGCCATGTTCCTGACCTTAGGGAAAAAGCTCTCAGTTTTCCCCCTTTGAGAATATTTGCTGTGGGTTTTTCATAGATGGCTTTGATGATATTGAGGTATTTACCCTCTATCCGTACACTGTAAAGAGTTTTGATCAAGAAATAATGCTATACTTTGTCAAATGCTTTTTCAGCATCTATTGAGAGTATCATATGGTTCTTATTCTTCTTTTATTAATGTATCACATTGATTGATTTGTGGATGTTGAACCAACCTTGCAGCCCAGGAATAAATCCCACTTGGTCGTGGTGAATAATCCTTTTAATGTACTGTTGGATCCTGTTGGCTAGTATTTGGTGAGAATTTTTGCATACATGTAATTCTCCTTTTTGATGGGGTTGTTGTCTGGTTTTAGGGTCAAGGTAATGCTCATAAAATGAGTTTGGAAATTTTTCTTCCATTTCTGTTTTTTGGAACAGTTTCAGGAGAATAGGAATTAATTCTTAAAATGTTTGGTAGAATTCCCCTGGGAAGCCGTCTGGCCCTGGGCTCTTGTTGGGAGATTTTTGATTACTGCTTCCATCTCCTTACTGGTTATGGGTCTGCTCAGGTTTTTTTTCTTCTTGGTTCAGTTTTGGTAGTTTATATGTCTCTAGGAATGTATCCATTTCTTCCAGGTTGTCAAATTTGCTGGTGTATTGTTGCTCATAATATGTTCTTAAAATTGTTTGTATTTTTTTGGTGTCGGTTGTGATCTCTCCTTTTTCATTCATGATTTTATTAATTTGGGTCCTTTCTCTTTTGTTTTTGGTAAGTCTGGCCAGGGGTTTATCAGTCTTACTAATTCTTTCAAAGAACCAGCTCCTAGTTTCTTTGATTTGTTCTCCTATTCTTTTAGTTTCTATTTCATTGGTTTCTGCTCTGATCTTTATTATTTCTCTTCTTCTGGGTTTGGGCTTTATTTGCTGTTCTTTCTCCAGTTCTTTTAGGTGTAGGATTAGGTTGTGTATTTGAGACCTTTCTTGTTTCTTGAGAAAGGCTTGTATTGCTATATACTTTCCTCTCAGGACCACCTTTGCTGTGTCCCAAAGATTTTAAACAGTTGTGTTTTCATTTTCATTTGTTTCCATGAATTTTTAAAATTCTTCCTTAATTTCCTGGTTGGTCCATTCATTCTTAGTAGGATGCTCTTTAGCCTCCACATATTTGAGTTCTTCCAATTCTCCTCTTGTGATTGAGTTCTAGTTTCAAAGCGTGCTCTGAAAATATGCAGGGGATGATCCCAATCTTTTGGTACCATTTGAGACCTGATTTGTGACCCAGGATATGATCTATTCTGGAGAATGTTCCATGTGCACTAGAGAAGAATGTGTATTCTGTTGCTTTGGGATGGAATGTTCTAAATCTGTGATGTCCATCTGGTCCAGTGTATCATTTAAAGCCTTTATTTCCTTGTTGATCTTTTGTTTAGATGACCTGTCCATTTAAGTGAGGGGGGTGTTAAAGTCCCCTACTATTATTGTATTATTATTGATGTGTTTCTTTGATTTTGTTATTAATTGGTTTATATAATTGGCTGTTCCCATGTTAGGGGCATAGATATTTAAAATTTTTAGATCTTCTTGTTGGACAGACCCTTTAAGTATGATATAGTGTCCTTCCTTATCTCTTATTATAGTCTTTGGCTTAAAATCTAATTTATCTGATATAAGGATTGCCGCCTCAGCTTTCTTTTGATGTCCATTAGCATGGTAAATTATTTTCCATCCCCTCACTTTAAATCTGGAGGTGTCTTTGGGTCTAAAATGAGTTTCTTGTAGATATCATATCAATGATAGGATATCCTATCATATCAGTGGGTCTTTTTTTTTAATCCATTCTGATACTCTCGTTTTTTGATTGGGGCATTTAGCCCATTTACATTCAGAGTAACTATTGAAAGATATGAATTTAGTGCCATTGTATTGCCTGTAAGGTGACTGTTTCTGTATATTGTCTCTGTTCCTTTCTGGTCTGTTACTTTTAGGCTCTCTCTTTCCTTAGAGGACCCCTTTCAATATTTCCTGTAGGGCTGGTTTGGTGTTTGCAGATTCTTCTAATTTTTGTTTGTCCTGGAAGCTTTTTATCTCTCTATTTTCAATGACAGCCTAGCTCGATATAGTATTCTTGGCTGCATATTTTTCTTGTTTAGTGCTCTGAGTATATCATGCCAGTCCTTTCTGGCCTGCTGGGTCTCTGTGGATAGGTCTGCTGCCAATCTACTGTTTCTACTGTTGTAGGTTACAGACCTCTTGTCCTGAGCTGCTTTCAGGATTTTGTCACTGAGACTTGCAAGTTTTACTGTTAGATGACAGGGTGTGGACCTATTTTTATTGATTTTGAGGGGGTTTCTCTGTGCCTCCTCGATTTTGATGCTTGTTCCCTTTGCCAAATTAGGGAAATTCTCTGCTGTAATTTGCTCCAAAATACCTTCTGTCCCTCTCTCTCTTTCTTCTTCTTCTGGGATCCCAATTATTCTAATATTGTTTTGTCTTATGGTATCACTTATCTCTCGAATTCTCCCCTCATGGTCCAGGAGTTGTCTCTCTTTTGCACAGCTTCTTTATTCTCCGTCATTTAGTCTTTATATCACTAATTCTCTCTTCTGCTTCATTTATCCTAGCAGTAAGAGCCTCCGTTTTTGATTTGCTTAAAGATTTTTTATTTATTTAAGAGAGAGTGAGTACACAGAGTGAGTGGGAGAACACCTGCGTTGAGGGAGAGGGTTAGAGGGAGAGGGACAAGCAGGATCACAGCCAAGCAAGGAGCCTGATCCGGGGAGGGGCTCTATCCCAGAATCCTGGGATCATGACCAGAGCTGAAGGCAGATGCATAATGACTGAGCAACCCAGGAGCCCCAGGAAAAACTATTTTAAAATAATGTTTTGGCATGCATGCCTCTAGGTTGTTGGACTATTTGAAAACATAGTTTATTTAAAATAACTAATACAGTACTGGACTTAATTTGTTTTCAGAGATGCTGATGATAAACATAAGCTCATAACAAAAACAGAAGCCAAACAAGAGTACCTTCTGAAAGACTGTGATTTAGAGAAAAGAGAGCCGGCTCTTAAATTTATTGTGAAGAAGAATCCTCATCATTCACAATGGGGTGATATGAAACTCTACTTAAAATTACAGGTCTCTGATATGTTATACTCCTTTTAATCCCTTGTCAGGTGAAGTTTTAATGGTAGACTTAGTAATTTAGTTTAGTTTTGCTTACAGAGTTAAAAAGATTGTTTTCCTCCTGTTGTTCTGTGTATGGGTCACAGTCTTAAGTAATGATTTTTTGGTGTGGTACTTCGGGGCAAATACATTAGGTAATGTTACTGGTACAATTTGGGAGCTAAACTGGGAGTAAAAGTTGGGCCCCATTTCCCTAGCCACCCATCCTCCACTGAAAATCCTAAGAAGTTTCAGGAATTTCACAGATGCCTGAAATCTAACTCCACTTGGGAAAATGCTCATCTGGAACCGTGTCAAGTATCTCTGTAACTCTCCTGTGTCTCAGAGTAGATCTTTCCAACTCCTGGTCTTTTAGTGGTGTGTGGAGATAGTTACTGCTTAGTGTGAGTGCCTTGGGTCAGAGCCTCCCGTATCTATCGCAGAAGAGTACAGACATCCTATTTTTGTGCCATTATATAAAAAAAAAATTGAGAGGCATTGCTTTACAGCAGGTTGCTTGGAAAATACTAGAAAATCCTAGTAGCTTCAAATAAAATTGTAAAGCCAATCATTTATTGAAATTTATTAAACCTGAGACAACACATTAATTAGAGGAATCACCACTATTTTATGTATCATTAAAAATGAAAAAATGCCAACCTAATGTCTTATTATCACTTGAAGCTTTTATCTTCTTACTAAAATAGTGCCATTAGATTTATCATAGTCTTTTTTTTTTTTTGCTGTATGTTATGCTTGTGCATACATACATAAGAAATGTAACTACACCAGATTTATTACAGCATTCCTAAACTTCTTTGCATTCAGAGTCCAATTCTTCTGAACCACTTTGTCACTCAGCTGTTAAAGCACTGGTGAGCCGGTCGCTGTTGCTGCAGCATTGCAGGGGTGTTAGAGTGTGGAAAATGTGATGTTTGAGAATTTAGGAAATGCCAGGATATTGTTTGATCATGTCAGGAGGAAATTTGAGTTTGGCTACCTTGATTGGTATTTTTGTTCCCTTAACGTATTGTGAGAGAGGCCCTGAGCATAATTCTTAGTGTATTTGTTAGTCTCCTAAATGTAAACAAATATTATAAAGAGTAAAGATACTAGAATGCAAAGTTTTTAAACTAGAATAAAGACTTTAGGTCCTTCAGGTACCCGTTACAAAGAAAAAAAGTTAACATTCTAAAGATCAGAAGTCAGTACTGGACTAAGAAGGAGAAGAGCAGTAGTGATGGATTCTCTGTGGGGAGAGGTTTCTGGAGATGACCTCGTGTTCACATAGGCTGTGGCTAACTGGTCTGCAGATTTTTTTGGTGAGTGTGACAAAACTCATCCGACCCACTGGCTACTGATACTTCTGTGGATTCATGTGAAAACAGAGAAACAATTACAGTCAGAGCCCAGCTCTTGTACTTACCGTCTAATTCAGCATACATTTACTGAGGTTCTGTAGGCTTAGATAAAGATGTTATTAGAGTTGTTTCTTAGCACAATTTAAAATCTTCAGAATTTCAAATACTTATCGCCCTTGAGTGAGATCATGTTTTGGTGTCCGTGGATTTAATCATTATGACTTTATAATACTTAACTCTGAATCATGGCTTATTTAAATCTGGATTCTGTGTTGTAGATTGTGAAGAGGTCTCTTGAAGTTTGGGGTAGTCAGGAAGCATTAGAAGAAGCAAAGGAAGCTCGACAGGAAAACCGAGAGAAAATGAAACAGAAGAAGTTTGATAAGAAAGTAAAAGGTAAGTGGAGGGGTGCCTGGCTGGTTCGGTCAGAGCGTGAGACTCTTGCTCTTAGGGTTGTGAGTCTGAGCCCCACATTGGGTGTAGAGATTACTTAAAAAATAAGGTCTTAAAAAAAAAAAAAAAAAGGAAAAGGAAGTGGCTACATTAATCTCATGAAGGACTGTATTTTATTGACTTGCAAAAAGACTTTACTAAGTAGTTCTTGTTTAAAGATCTGTCACCGGTAGATTGGAATGTTTTTTCATTCAAAGACAAGACTGAAAGTTTGCCCTCAAACTGAAAGTTTGAGGCTCTTGGTGCAAACTGCAGAGTATTGCAGTTCTAAAAAGCATGTAAATCCTCTCAGTGAATTATGTGTTTATATAGGAACAGTGGTAGAGCAGGTATATATCCTTGGTCGAGGATTTGGCATCTGTTCAATCTTAAATATGATTAACCGGGTTATAAAAATGGTATCCACCAGCAAACCTTTCAATTGCTTAAAATGAAAAAATCATGCCTAAGTGTTAGTCCTCTAATTTAGTAGCTAGAAGGAGCCTTCTCATGTCAGCAGGTCTAATCGTCCTTCTGTTATATGTGAATAAAAGGTAGAGTGACTTGTTACATCGGTAGTTATTAGTGAAGTGGGACTGGAAGCAGGCTTTCATAACCGAAAGTCTACATTGGTATATTCATTCCTTTGTCAGTACATCTGTCTGTCCATTCCTTTGTCCATCTTTCTCTGTACCTGTCCATCCATCCATGTATGCCTCTGTGTGTAAGTCTGTCCACTCATCCATCTGTCCAGCAGTGCCTCCGGTAACGTCACCAGGCACTGCGCTAGTGTCCGTGCTGGAGGTCAAGTCAGTCAGAAGAGAAAGTAAACTTAACCCCCTGTGGGAGTGTGGTCAGTGCTGATGGCGGGCAGCGGGGGCTGGCGTTGGAGCAGCAGGAGCACTCCGTGCTAGACCACCGAGTCCCTGGATAGCATCTCGCTCAGTAGCCATCCGTGTTCTCCTGTGGGAGTTGTAGAGGCCTGCTGTCGTGTGGGTTGCGTCTGGATGGCATGTATCTTATGTATTTACTGTTGTTTATGTACATCCATTTAAAATGAGTGTCTTAGCCATAATAAATAAATTTTGCTTATGTTTAGGATTTAGAAGAGGTTTTGGAAGGTAGCTCAGATGCGTTAAATATTACAGCAACAAAAATTGTAAGCCTGCCTTGTTTCTTCTTGTGAGGATCTTTTTTCCCTCTTTCCATGACAAGATTGTGTGCAGTGCAGAAAGGTTGGGAAACTGTGAAGAACTTGTAGTAGTCTCCTGCCCAGAGACCATCAGTAGTGACATTTTAATGTCTTTTTCTAGTTCTTTTCTACACACAAACTCTTTAAAAATATTTCTTATAAAAATGGAAGCACCGTTGATACTTAACGACGTTTATCAAAACCCTTATAATAAACATCCTCACATATGTCTTTATATAAAGTCTAGCGACTTAAGAGGCCAGCTCCTGAGTCAGGGGACAAGTGCACTTCTCTGGCTTGGTTAGATTTCCTGTGGCAAACTGTGCTGTCTAGAAGCATTTCATTGAAGAGTCTTCCCCATGTGAGCCACTGCTGTACCGGGTCACTGGAAACCCCGGCAAGGACCACCTGAGGGGCTTTGGAAAGACTTTTTTCAGTTTAGTCCTGTCCTTTAATCTTCCATTAGACTATGTTCACCTGAGATTTTGCTTCAGCCCTTCCTTCTTCTAGCATCAAGGAAAGCTTTGAGGGGGAAAGTAACAGAAGCTTCTTACTGGGCGTGAGAGAGGACTGCAGAGTTGCAGACTCGTTACAGACCAGCCTGAGGTTGTCGGTACTCTAGCTACCTGAATCGCCTCCACTCTTCCCACTCTGCTGCCCCTGAAGCCATTTCCTGATGGTGTTTTGGTGCAGACAATAGTATATGGATATAGGCATTAGAAACTGAGACCTGCAAAGTGATGAAATACTTCAAAAAGGGGGGTGATCTGTAATTTTTCTTTAGATACGCCGATCTCTGTAGTTTGGTCAAGAGGTCATCTGAATGGGGCTAAGTTCCTGTAATTTGACTAACAGTAGAAGATTATAGGATCTGTTTTATACTTTTTTCTATAAGAATTAAGATAACAATTCTTTTAAGATTTATATAATTTTCATAGGTATTAAAGAAATATAAACTCAAATGTAATTGGCTTTTTTTCTCACTACATTAAACTGCTGCTATTAATTACCAGATAAAACTATGGTTTTTTCTCTTCCTGGAAGAGTTTGAATTTGCCCTGAATTTTTTCATGGACCCTTAAGACTGGTTTCTTAAATTCAGTTCCTTTCTTGTTGAGATGAAGCATGTCTTTTTGAGGAGATTTTTCTGAGTGGATGTATTTTCCAGGTTCCTCCAAACCTAAGTGTTTTCCAGTTTCCTTTGCATATGAAAACCTGAGCACGCTCTCAGTCGTAAAAGCGTTGCTCTGTTGTCTTATGGTATTTTTCTGTGCAGGGGTCAGTGGGGTACCCTGTTTAATTATGGCTTCTTCTCGTTGGTTTACTTTAGAGGTCGGTGAACAAGTTCCAGTTCTCCTGACTAGGCCACAAAGGGCTGAGAGTGGAGTAGACACTGTAGAGATTAGGAACAAGCAGCTTACTGTGCAGTTTGCTCAGAACAGAGAGAAATAAAAGCAAGTCTAAAAGTTTTTTAGTTGAAAAGAAATTGGAACCTGGTTCCTCTTGGTCTTCTGGTTTTGATCCACAAAGAAGATGACACAAAGCTTACTTCTTTATGGAAAGGTAAGAGATTACATTTACCTGCTTTGAAAATGTGATCTGCTTAGCAGTTTGAGAAAGTACTGGTTTTACTACAGAAAAAATTTAACTATAAATAGTATAAGGTATTTATAAATATAGGCAAAGTAAAAGGCAAGAATTGTCAGCAAATTCAAGTTATTACTAGATCTCTTAGATCCAAGAAGACAGAAGTAGAAACAAGGGCATCACTGCTGCTCCGTTTAACTGGATTTCAAAGAATGCACTACATGCTGCCTTTGATCCGGATGAGATCTCTCATTTGGTGCTAATACATAAAATGTTTTGGGCTTGCATGCCTCTCCACAAATAAGGTGGATATGAGGCTTTTCTTTAAAGTTAGACTCCAGGGGCACCTGGGTGGCTCAGTGGGTTAAGCCTCTGCCTTCAGCTCGGGTCATGATCCAGGGTTCTGGGATCAAGCCCCGCATCGGGCTCTCTGCTCAGCAGGGAGCCTGCTTCCTCCCTCTCTCTCTGCCTGTCTCTCTGCCTACTTGTGATCTCTCTCTCTCTCTCTGTGTCAAATAAATAAATAAATAAATCTTAAAAAAAAATAAAGTTAGACTCCATTTTCTCTTACTTAGTACTGATAGAGGTAAGCCTTCTAAAAAATGGAAAATAATTCTTCATTGTTAACTATGCATTTTTCCTCCCAAAAGGGTGGGTAAGAAAAGCCCCCTTTGGAGTTCCTACTAAGTGTGTGGACATTTTACATTCTGGGTCTGTGGTTCTATTTATGACCATTTTCGGGCTTCTCTCAGTGGAGTTTGAAGGACACAGTTCCATGTTCCTTTGCTTCAGTGTATGGAGGAGGACAAGATAAGATCAAAGCTTCATGTTATTTGGATATTTCCTTGTGACTTTTCCTCTAGTTAACAAGGAGCACCCTATGTCACAATTTCTGCCCTTCCATCAAGTATATAAAAATGTTTGGTCTCCCTCAGCTAGTTCTCCTGTAAGTTTACCTCCTAAATAGTATTGGGCTTCTTTGAATACAAGCCGTCTTTTTTACAAAAGTGTAGGATATAATGCAATAGAAGAACTGAAGGAAAAGAACCTTTATCTGTTTTAAAAGACTGACTTAATGCAATATGATTATAACTAGAACTGAAAAACTATTATAACTTAGAAGAAAGTTTAATAATGTTGCTGGATACAGGATAAATATCTATAAAACAACCTTTCAAAAAAAGGCAAATAAAATACACATTTCAGAGTGGCATAACCTAAATTTTTTCATTGAAACAAGGATTTAAAGGGAAACTTCTTCAGGTAAAAAGAATATCTCTCTGAAGATATCCATAGCAAGACTGTTTATGGTGAATATTTTTATATATTTCTAGAGAGGTAGTCCACAGCTTTCTGTGCTGTGAAATTCTAGGCCTGTGGGACTGGGAGGTTATAACCTGGTAACATGTTTTGTTCTCTAGCTCAGCTAGGCTTTCAGTGCTGCCTGGCACGGTGCCCCCTCCTTGTTCCCAGGGCTCCTTAGCTCTCCCACGGGCCTAGCGAGGCTCTCCCACGGGCCTAGAGAAGCTCTCCCACCCATCTAGGCTCTGACTTTTTCTGCCTCCCTCTTCTCAGCAGTAGGTGGTTACGTCTACTTTCTGGAAGTTTTAAGTTGCTTAAATGAAGTAATGTAAAAAACTTCATTTAAAAAATTTTGATTTCATCAGATGTTGGCATTTTGCCACATTTGTTTACGTGTGCATGCACACACACACACACACAATGTTGACCCATTAGAGTTGCCTGAGGACATTGTAATGAATATTTCAACGTGTTATCTCCTGTAAGCAATGGCATTCTGTGTAACTGAAAAGCAGTGTCAAACTCAGTAAAGTTAATATAATGCTATTGTCTAGTATGTCCTAGACATTCAGTCATTCTGATGTCCTTCACAGCTTTTTAGTTGTTGGATCCCAGGGCCAATCAAGGGTGGTGCCTGTCTACTCTTTTAGGTCCTCAGTGGTTTTCTTTTCAGACTACTATGGACATTTTTGGAGACTGCCAGCAGTTTGCAGAATGGCCCCCATTTAGGTTTATTAGCAGCTTATTTTCACACAATTAGATTGTGGGCATTTTTTTTTTTTTTTAAGATTTTGTTTATTTATTTGACAGAGATCACAAGTAGGCAGAGAGGCAGGCAGAGAGAGAGAGGAGGAAGCAAGCTCCCTGCTGAGCAGACAGCACGATGTGGGGCTCGATCCCGGGACCCTGGGATCATGACCCAAGCTGAAAGCAGAGGCTTTAACCCACTGAGCCACCCAGGCACCCCAGACTGTGGGCATTTTTGGTAGGAGTCCTTTCCTGGTGATGTGTCCATGTGTGTCACATCAGGAGACACATGCTGTCAGCTGAGAGGGGATCTTCTGTTTGCTAGCGTGGTTGGGGTGGTGTCTGCTAGATTTGTCTGTTGTCTAGGTATCCTTTCCCCATTATAATTATGAGGAAATCTGTGGGGTGGACTCTTTGGTACTGGGTGAGCATCTCCTTCCTTAAGTCTCACTCCTGGGTTTTAGCACATGGTATGACTCTTGTTACTAGGCTGGATATAAATGGTGACTTTCTATTTCTGTTATTCTTCCTATAATTATTATTTGGCTTCTTTTAGTATTAAGTCGGATTCATGGATTCTTATGCTCAAATCAGTGTTACAGTCCATTCCTGTTATTTTCAGACTCAAATGGTCTCAAATTTGGCCCCTTCAAGCAAACTCCTTTTTAAGTTTTTATTTGGAAATAAATTCAAAAAGTTCCAGAAGATTGCAAAGATAAGTATAGTATAGAGGATACAGCGTTATATCCTTACCCCAGAGTGATCTGCAGCATCCTTTCTGCCATTTTATTATCGGTATGGATTCATGAATTCCTGTTCTTCTCCTTGGCTTTTGATTCATTTTCTGTACTTATTTTGGTGTTAAGATTGAGATTTGGGCCAAAAGGAATCTTTCAGCAAGCTCCTCTGTCCTTTTGCCATGTCTTGTCAAGAACTTCTGCTTTCTAGCACAAAACGTGTATTATCTGTATTTTTATGTCTGCCCATATATGTTATAAATTAACACCTTGAGTTCACACTCACATACCCAGTTCTAATCTAGGATTTTAGAATTCATTCTCATTTTTTTCCCTTGTTTGTAACTCCCTTCTCTGAGAGTGAGAGACCTGATTTGCACAATCTGTAATGTAGTTATTCGATTGATGCCCCTGTACGTAATTTCCCGTCACTCTTGCTAGCAGCCTTCACCGTAGGGAGCTCCTCACTTTTCTTGGGCCCCCTCTTCCCCACCACAGATGCCTGCTTTACTTGCTCCACTTAATGGCTTTTGGGACTAGATTGTTCAGGAAGGGAAAGAAGGCAAGAAAATGATCAACATACCAGTGTTTTAGTACTTCCTTATCTTCTAGCACAAGTTTTTTCCAGGAGTGTCTAGTAAATACTACAGATACGGCTTTATTTCTTGTCATTATTCTTGATACACTAGCTGAAGGATGGGAAGAAAAAGCCATAAAGTCAGTAAAAATCTTATGTACAATTATGACCAATTATGGATAGTAAACTAGATTTTGTTGTCAGTATTCTAGTGTTAAGCAAATAGCTCTCTTCTTTCTCTTCCTGAGTTCACATAATGCTCAAGTTAGAGGTTAGTGTTTAGCAGTGACCGGGTTGCAGTCAGATTTTGAGAGCGTTTTCTCAGTGGAGTAAAGGAAAAGCAGATGGGATACCTTGTATCAGAACAGATTTGGAGGGGAGATATTGGAACTCAAACAGGAGACCTCTTCTTGTCATTGACTGAAACCATGAGGCATCTGTGCTAGTCAGCACATGATTTCATTTTTTATTTAGAAATACCTTAAGGTTTAAAAAAAAAATGGATAGGGCATTCTAGGTATGTCTAGAAAAAATTGCCACCTTCAGAATGTGACAGAATATAGGAATACAGATTATTGTTTGAATGAAGACGATTTTCCCCCTAGTTTGGAAACTGTCTAGAGGTGTGTACACTGAAGCCTGAAAACAGTGGTCTGAGATCCAGGGCTTCTCACACCAGAGGTGGGGAAGGGCAGCATAGCTTTCGTGGTTAACAAGAACGTGAGACAGACCACGCCTTCGCCATCAGCTAGCAGTTTGCTATTAGGCACAATGAATGTAACTTCTTTGGGCCTTGGTTTTCTCATGTTAAAATTAGGATGGTAGTTGTACTTCTCTCCAAGGATTGTAAGGATTAAATGTGTTTATAGATAAAGTGCTTAGAACAGTGCCTGGTACATAGCACTCCCAGCTGTTTATCCCTAAGATACAATAAGGGCCGAAATACAAAGGCTCAACTATTTTGATACTACTAATAAATCTAAAGAGAATTAAAGAAAATGTGTGATCGCTTAGTGTACAGTGATTTTTATGGTTGAGATATGTAACGTACTCTTCCTTAGGTAGCGTGCTGTCCGAGCTGGGCTTGATGGATCACTGGTCAGAATAAAAAAATGTAAATGACTCGTGTTGCTTTCTGTTCATTAAACCAGAAATTGAAGTTATTAACTTGTTAATTTCCAGTTAACACTAAGCATTTGGTTCCTTCAGGTAATGCAGTATGAACTTTCTACATGTGATTTGGCTTAGTTACTTTTCAAAGTATCCAACAGTTGTTTTTTTTTTTTTAATGACATTTTAACATGATACAATGGAAAAGTTCTAAGCTCTGGAATAGATGACTTGAGGTCACATGCTATTTTTGTTCCATTTCCCTGCCTGTAAAATAAGTAAGTAAAAAAAAAAAGGGGGGGGGCGCCTGGGTGGCTCAGTGGGTTAGGCCGCGCCTTTGGCTCAGGTCATGATCTCAAGGTCCTGGGATTGAGCCCCGCATTGGGTTCTCTGTTCAGCGGGGAGCCTGCTTCCTCCTCTCTCTCTCTCTACCTGCCTCTCTGCCTGCTTATGATCTCTCTCTGTCAGATAAATAAATAAAATCTTAAAAAAAAAACCCAAAAACCAAAAAACACCAAAACCAAAAGAAAAACTGTCCTTCTTTCCAGTTCTTAATTGGCATTGATTCTTATATTTAGGTTGTCCTTTGCAATAATTAGGAATCCCTCTCCTAAAATACTGCTCTCATTTTATAAGGAATTGAATGGACTTCAGGTCGGGTGCACAGGCAGTTGCTCTAGGATGAAACCCCAGCATAACAGCAGACTTCTTGGCTTTCTGGTTCTCTTGCAAGCACAGCTTGGCCTGCCTCTTAGAGAAGCGGCCCCTAATGTACGGGACTTGGAAATGGGTCTTGTCCTGAATTATCCAGCTGACTGACCCCCTCTTTCCTGCTGTGGCATCATTTTTCTTAGCTACTTGAACAAATCCCATTTTTTGAAATCCTCTTTTACTGATCTTCTGAATTTTTCGTTTTACTGTCCCTCTAACCCACTTACCCCATTTCTCCCTCTCCCATTTCACATGGCTCCAACAGTAATTTCACAGACCAAGCTGGCTAAGGTTATAGAGTCAATTTTGATTTGTTATAAAATTAATGTAAACCATATTTGGTTTACATTACACCTTGATGGATTTGGGCTTCAGCTGAATAGCATCACTGAAAAACGGCTTTTATTTATTTTCTTAGAATTACGGCGAGCGATAAGAAGCAGTGTGTGGAAAAGGGAGACAGTTGCTCATCAGCATGAGTATGGACCAGAGGAAAACCTAGAGGAGGACGTGTATCGGAAGACTTGTACTGTGTGTGGCCATGAGCTGACCTATGAGAAGATGTGACTTAAGTTATTCACAGATGAATGGGACACTTGTGTAAATAACGCTTCCGGAAGAAATATATATGTTACATCTTCAGTTTCCGGTCTGGTTGTGGGCAAATACTGGCTCTGTGATTGCTTTTCTCTACAGTAGGGATTAGAGCCAAGGGGGTGGAATAGGTTCAAAAGTCAGCTTCGAGCTAAAGTTGAGAAATATACCGAACCAAACCCTAGATTGGAATAGGAGGAAGAACTTTTGGTAAGGGCAACTGAAGTGACTTTTTCTAGGAAACAACAGGGACAGTAGTAGATCCTGCGCCCCAGAGGCTAGCCAGGTCTTCTAGACCCTGTCTCCACATGAGGGAGTGGGGAGCTGTTGTTGGACAAGGCCCGACAGCAGGAATTGAGTCATGGCAGTCTGATCATGTTTTCGGTATCCTTATGGCTTATTACCATAGGCCCTAACGTCCTTGTTGAGGTAGCCGTTTTCACATCTGGATTAAAATGGAAAAACAGCCATATTGTCTTCTTGATCAGAAAAGGTACTAAGTGTATCCTAACTTGCTAACATTTTACAGAGCACTTACTGGACCAGGCGGGTGTGATGTGAAATGGCTTACAGGTATTCTCATTTAATCCTGGGAGGGAAGATAATTTCTGTTTATTTCACACTTCTAAAGGAAGTGATACTACAACCTGACATCGCCCCAGACATCTGGAACAAGATTAGTCACTTTTGCTGTCTTGTCAAAAGATCACAAGGTAGTTACAGCTAGTAAGAGGATTTGTGCTTGATTATAGGATCTATGCAAGATAGATAGATATACACATACACAAAACCTGTTCAAGTGAAACTGGATATTATCAAGTTGTTCTTTGACATGGCTTTTTTAGTCCTGTTGCTACAAATAGAAAGAATAGGAAGTTTATATGTTTATATGTAAAGGAAGATGTATCATCTTCTTTTCTAGATCAGCTCTCCTGGAGATGATGCTTGCTTGAAGAAAGGCAAATCTAAACTAGTCCAACTCAAATAGACTTTTGAGACTGTAATTACTAATCGTCCTCTAAGAATTCAACATAGAAATGTTTACTATATTAGTCCAGTGTTTATATATATATATATATATTTAAGTGTGCCATGCCAATTACTGACTGGTTCAGAATGGGCAGCAAGATGTTCCTGGTATCACAAAAAAGCTTCCAGCTTGATGTTAACAGAGTAATGAGGGGGTCTAGGCAGCTGTATTAACTGCATGGGCAATAAAAAGCCGTTGAATCCCAGGAACTTAGGTTCAAATTCCTCTTTTTTAGCTGTGGGCCTTGGGTATGTTACTTCATGGGAGTATTTTGATCTGCTGGATGGGCACAATCATCTCGCAGAGAACGGTTGTGAGGATTAAAGATGGCCAATCTGTGGCATGTGGCACTTGAGCATGTAATCTCATCAGGACAGCACAGTTCTAGATTTGTCTGGTTTCCCGTATGCTTCTATGCACGCTTTCATCACTTGAAGAGGATCCCAGTATCCAGAGAATACTGACAGCACAATGTATTCTACCCAGGTTGGCAAGTTTTTTCCTCATTTCTCATTTTAGGTATAATTACAGATTAGTAAATTATGTAACAAACTATTAAATACTTTCCAGGAAGACCAAGCAAACTTATTTTCATATGAACCACTGCCTGAATTATTCCTGGAAGGGAGATTGAGAATCAAGGAAAACAAAGCATATGTTCACTTTGACAAAGGAAACGTTAAATGGCATTGACAGAGTATTTAACAGAATATTGATTTCTTTGCGAGGTATGGTAGTGAGCTGCCATTCTTTTGTCTGTATGAGCTGCTTGAGTGGGGAAAGCAGCTGCTGAATGTTTTTGCTCTTATGCCTTTTTTTGGAAATTCAACTTCCAGTTTTTTCCATAAACTTAGCTACCAAACTGTACAAGAGCAGGGTCCCGTCAGTGAATTCTTGTGAGAAGCAATATTACACGTGAAAAGAGGATCCAAGAGAAAAATTCCTCTAGACTTGGGATCCAGCAGGTATACCAGCCGAACTGCAGGTACACTGGGCTAGGGAAGGCTACAGGACAGTGTAGGGTCAAAGTTACCAGAGCCATAAATGGTTATTGTTTTGGCCTCTTGAGGACAAGAGCCATGTCTGACTTGTGGGAAGGAGGAACAGCATAACCAAAAGAATATTTAGACAAGAACCTGGGTATTGGTCCCTTTCCTGCTGGTAACTTGCATTATTTGTTTAAATGGTATTTAAAAATCCTAGGAATTCTTCTCTCTTGAGTAGACTATATTCTGTAGCTACTAAATGTGGGGTAAACCAAAGAAACTGGATAATATGAAAAATGCTAATGCCTGCCTCTGCAGTTTATGAGACAGTAAGTTAATACCGTGTTGCACAGATGACCGGGAACACTACTTACCAGTTGTGGGGTTGTTGATAAATTTTTTAGTGAAGTCTTAAAATGCTAGCGATTTGCAATGTCAGGGAATCCCTTAGACGTGATTATTTCATGTGCGGTCTTATCTGAGCTAAGCTTTAATACCCTATAGGAAACAGGCTCAAGAATTAGTAATTACTTGGACCAAGTTCTTTAGAAACAAAGTTCAAACCTACATAGAATTCCAAGTACAGTTTTAGCTAGTCTAGCTACTTCTGTTGCCAGTTCAACATGTACTTCCCTAGTGGACCTTGGACAAATCTGAGACTAGAGGAGATGACCAGATGGCTCCAAGGTCATGGTTCCCACAGCTGCCTGCACACTGGACAGCACCAAGGGAGGCTTTAGAATGATGGCTGGCTCCACTTCACTCCCCAGAGATTGTGGTTTAATTTAGAAAATAACAAGAATTTGGGTGGTGCTACTCTGAATAACATTTATTAATATTACTTAAAATACTTTAGAGAAGGAATTCGAAGTGAGGGAAGTACACCTTCAATAAGAAAGCGATTTTTAAGTAGACTGAGATAAATCATGAAATACCGAAGTTTAAAAAACATTTAGTTTTATTTCAGCCGTACCAGGTTATCCATGAGCTGTGAAAAGCTATGCTACTTGATAGTAAACCCACCAGTTCTATATACTACTTTGTAAGCTGGACCTCTAGTGTTCACATACCTTAAATCACTTATCTTTTGTGCCTTAAGGAAAAAAAAATACCAGAAAAGTTGTATCTGTCACATATATAATACATCCTATGGTCATTGTCACATAGTCGGGAATTTTCGCTTTGTAGGAGCCATTGAAGGTAACCAATGCTCTATTCTTCACCGTCCTCCTCCCTCCCCCCCCTTTAATAAGTGAAAGGATGCTACAAGAAAGCAAGCATTCAAACCATCAAAAAATAAGACAAATTATTTTGAGATATTTTTTAAAAATCTTGACAAGGGAATAAAAGGATCCTTAGGCCTGTAGGGCACAGAACTGCTGGAACACAGCCAGGATATGCGGGTCTAACTCGGCAGTGAAGAGCAGGTTCTCCAGGGTCACCATGTATTGCTGAATTATTTGGTGATGCTGTGGACACAGAAAAGGGGAGGTTTAGGTCAGGAAAAAGACCACTTGAGCAGCCTGTCCCTGTTGTGGAATGAATGGGAAGGGGTAGGAGAAAAAAAGTGGTTATGCTTGATAGGAAGGATGGGCTCCTGAAAAGCCCCAATGTTAAGAAAATGTAGAGGGAAAAAAAAAAAGCAGGGAGGATGTTCAATAACTTAGAAACAAAGTAGCCAGAACTGGATTTGAATGTAAACATAATTCATGTTTCAGAGCAGCGTTCCAGACTGGGCGTTCCAGACCGGGCGCAGCTGGGTCCCTACTGATGAGGACAAGACAGTAGGACTCTTTAAAGGGAGCCCAGACAGGGACTGGCCTAAGATTAAAAATAACCCGGGAAAGAGGATCAAAATTATGGTTGCTGAAACATGAGAAAAGATACTTTGCAGTATTTTCCTTTTACTGGTTAGACATTTAAAATTTTCTTTTACAAAAACGTAAGATCACTGGCTAATTCTCTACAAACTATTCCACAAAACAAGAAACCCAAACTTCATTTTATCTGTCAAAAATAAATAGCTCATCTGTCTCACTGAAAATCTATGACTTGTTGAGGCTGTGTGGGGGGTGGGGGAGGTCAGAAAATGAAAATCTCTTCTATCTGTGCCTGTAGGACTCGCACATACAGAGACTTCTACAAGGCCTGGAGAACAGCAATTCCTAAATCGGGGTGCTGGAGGACCCATTCGAGCCTAAATATTCCGATGAGCCATTGCAGGAACAAATGGACAGTAAAAGGGCCTTACGGGTACTACTAAACCTCCTGACAAACCTGACCGTTTTTTAAAATGGAAAATTCTTGGGGCTGAGAACAGTGATGTTTATTATCTAATCAGAGTTTCCCACAAACCTGTAAGAAGATCTGCTGGAGCCTCTCTATACAGTTCTTGTACCACGGGGTTAATACGCTGGTTCCATCAGTCTCGCATCGTACTAAGTGCTCGGTCAAGATCATGATAAAACGCTGGAAAGGGGGTACAAAGTTAAAGCAGTGTTACAGGAAGAATTTTTCTACTTCAGAAAACAATCACATTTTTGACCAAGAGACCTCAAAGGCATTCCTGTTCCACTTGGTCTTCGTGGTATGTATCACCAACTTTCCTAAGTCAATACATGCTGTCAGGCTAGAAACAGACCAGTGCTAACATGAGTGTATCCTTTTTTTCAGTACACGAACAGCTTTAATATCTAGATTACTATGCTTTTCTCAGCATCTGTTTTTAAGGACCTAATCAGAAATGTAGGTATAAAATGATCAACCACTGGGAATAACTGAACAGAGAGAGGTTTAAAGCATCCTCGCCCAGTCTGAGAAATGGTCCTGTAAGAACGCTAGGCGAGCACGCAGACTGGGGGGTACACACGGTTACCTTCAAGTAGCGAACTTTTACTTCCTTTGTAAATTTTTGTATTTTAAAGTTTTATAAGTGATTTTTATGATTAAAAAATTTTTGAAATCTAAAGAAATATGTAGATTTTTTTTTTTTTTAACCTATCAGTGTCCCAAGCCAAGATACCTGGAATATGACGAGGAAGAGGTTCTTCTGTTCACTCTGAGCAGATTCCACTTTTTCCTGCAATCTTTCTATTTGCTCCTCCAGAGCCCCATCTTTCCTATCACTGCTTCTGTCGTCATCGTCACTTCGCTGCAGGAGGCACAAGAACAAAAGGAAAATGCCATTTTGAATTCCAGTATGCTAAACCTCATCAAGGAAGGGCAAGGCTGTTCTTGTGTCTGGTCAAGGCCACTTGGAGGCTGGTATTCTAAGGTGAAAGTACTCCGCTCCCCTAAATGCACACACGTACCCCAACAGTCCTGGGGCACTTATCCAGGCCAGGGAAACTTTGGGGCAACTGTCTTAGATGACAGCAGGTGGGCATGTCTGCACTCCCAGCAGAAGTGAGCTATAAGACAACCCATTCAGGGAGGAAGTGTGTGTCACATTTTTCTTCCATTCAAAATGAAAACGGCGTTAACTAAGCTCTACGGAAAATGTAGATTCTTGTTACTCACCATCGTTATGTTTATGCATTAGCTATGAACCCTGAACCACTGCTTGGGGAAGGACAGGGTTAGGTTCTTGGGAGCCTTGTAGCTTGTATCTGTCACCTGATCGATATGTAACCTTATGTGTGTGTTTTTTTTTTTTTTAAAGATTTTATTTATTTATTTGACAGACAAAGATCACAAGTAGGCAGAGAGGCAGGCAGAGAGAGAGGAGGAAGCAGGCTC